CTCCCCTCCCCAGGAAAACTCACCCGTTCAACTCGTTAATGTGCTGGTGAGATCAAGCAGTTGAGCAAAGTATGTTCACTCTACCTGTATCTATGACCCACATTACTGCAAGAGAATTGAATATTCCAAGAGCTTCAGTCATTCTGCTTAAAATTACAGCAGGGTAACAGTGTGAAAAGCTGCTTGAACTGCTGCTCTTTCCCAACAACTTCAGGCTTGTGTTTGGATACTGTCTTGCATATGCTTTGAGCTGTGGTTACATTTCTGTAATTAGGTGAAGAAACATGCTGATATAATGTATCACCTGATTCTTTTTAGCTCTACAAATACAGTACTGACTCCTGTAGAACAGCGTAAAGAACGGAGTCCACTAGATCACTACAGAAAGAGGCAGATAATGCTCTCAAGCTGACCCCTATGGTTTGGTTTTGGGGGTTTTGTTAAGAAGTTCAAAAGGAAGACAAATGAGGAAGATTGTATTAATGCGTTGCATGGCATGGTCAGGGTGGACTGACTGTATTTATATCGTTAAACAGCTGGAGTGCTCAGAGGAGCTGGGAGACCTTGTAAAATCTGTAGATCCTACACTAGCACTTAGCGTCTATCTGAGAGCCAACGTACCTAACAAAGTCATCCAGTGTTTTGCTGAAACGGGACAAGTCCAGAAGATTGTTTTGTATGCTAAGAAGGTGAGAGGAAATTAAATTGCCACATCTGTCCTGTGATTAAGAATAACCAGTGTATGTTCTGAAGTGAGTAAAAGGAATTGTGGGGGAATCTGAAAGTCTGTGTAGTCCCTACTTTGGCCTAATGTTTTGTTATGAATAATTACTGATAGACCTCATGCGTGTGTCCTTTCATACTTCCCTATGTACCAAATGAGGAAATCCTGTCTGGGTTGTGTAAGCTACTGACAGTAGCTTTTACTGAGCTCTCTATTTAACAAGGTGTGTGCTCTTGTTGAGTAGTTACTTTTCATTATCTCTTCAGGTTGGATATACTCCAGATTGGATTTTTTTGCTGAGGAATGTAATGAGAATCAGCCCTGATCAAGGACAGCAGTTTGCACAAATGCTTGTTCAAGACGAAGAGCCTCTTGCAGACATAACACAAGTAAGTAACTATTGCTATGAAATGTTAAGTTCAAGGCCTTAAATTGGTAACGGTGTGGTTTCTCACCACAAGAGAAAGAGGAAAAAAAAATTATATAAATTTTTTTTTCAAACTATGAGTTTAGATTTCCCTTATCAGGACAATGCTGTTTCTTGCTTGTTTTTAAGAATGCTAAATGGTAGCTTATTTCAGTGCCATAATGAAGACTTTGGCTTTGGGAGCTGCACTTGATGTTACTTTGTGTAAATATGCTTCCAGCTTCTAATAAAGCTTAATTTTTTCCAGATTGTAGATGTCTTCATGGAATATAATTTAATTCAGCAATGTACAGCCTTCTTGCTGGATGCACTGAAGAATAATCGTCCCTCGGAAGGCCCCCTGCAAACACGTTTACTTGAGATGAACCTCATGCATGCACCTCAGGTATGTTTTCAGAATTACTAGATCAGGCTTGCTGGTGGCTAGACTGGGTGCTGTGTTGTGGTCCATATTAAGTGTTAGAATTCAGGATCTAAATGAAAACTTTCTATTATTCCTTCTAGGTTGCAGATGCTATACTGGGAAACCAAATGTTTACTCACTATGACCGGGCTCACATAGCTCAACTGTGTGAGAAAGCTGGCTTGCTACAGAGAGCACTTGAACACTTCACAGACTTATATGACATCAAGCGTGCAGTAGTTCACACTCATCTTCTCAATCCTGAGGTATGAGATCAAACGTTCTGAGTCTACGTTTGACTTCAGTGTAGAGTGTTCTACTCGGGCCTAAAATGCCTTCTGTGTCTTTGCAGTGGTTAGTGAATTACTTTGGTTCCTTATCAGTAGAAGACTCCCTGGAGTGTCTGCGTGCTATGTTGTCTGCTAACATTCGTCAGAACCTGCAGATCTGTGTCCAGGTAGCTTCAAAATACCATGAACAGCTTTCAACACAGTCACTTATTGAGCTGTTTGAGTCTTTCAAGAGCTTTGAAGGTAAGTTTGTGCCCTTGCCTCTAGCAAAAGGAGCTAGTGCTCACTTCATCAGACATGTGTATGAAGGATTGTCTGTTGAAATCCAGAAAACCAATATTGAACTTAAATACCTAGGCCTGAAAACTGTCTTGAAACCTGACTTAAACCTTAAAGTTCGCCCATTAACAGGGGCACCAATAATCAGTGTTGCATATTTTGGTTTTATGAAATGTTACCAAATAGCTTGGAGCTGTAGACAGCCTAAAGAGTTAACTGAAGAAGCTGCTGGTCTTTGTCCTCTGTCCAAAATGGTCATCTTAAATTTGTGTAGCCTTTGGCTTTCAGGCTTTTGTATTTCTCAACAAGACTAGTTGTGTGTAATCTTGTCAGCATGGCAGTATGTTGGTGGTTAAATCTCTGCAGATGTGTGGCTGAGTGAATCTTTCTTGACTAAGTGACTTGGCTGTCACTTATCTAAAGTAGTCCAGTATTACATGGCATCAGCTTTCAGTGAACTCTAGCTGTGGGTCAAGGCAAGCAGCTTTTGCACTGTGTGTTTTAGTGAAAGGTGTGATGATAGCTGCTGGGCACAACTAATTTTGGTTTTCTAAACTTTTCCTTGCCTCCTGTGTGGTGGGTGTATGGAAGGCACGTGCTGGATGTTTTATCTAAGCTGACCTATGACAATTGGTGATACATCAGTATTGACGTTGCATGTAACACATTAGTCTGTATAATACGTGGAGAGCAACAAGAAGCTCTGCTAGGGTAGTCTGGTGTTCCTAAAACAATTACAATGCTTGAATTTTTCTTTTTCAGTTCTTCTTAAACTTCTGCAGTAGTCAGATTCAAGTTTTCATGTATTTTAATTTGGAAGCCTTGCTTAAAAGCTAGCGGTGATCAAAATCAAATGCTTTAGCAGAATAACATGGTGACTCTTTCCCTCCGAGGTTTGTTTTATTTCCTGGGCTCTATTGTAAACTTCAGCCAGGATCCAGATGTGCACTTCAAATATATTCAAGCTGCGTGCAAGACAGGACAAATTAAAGAAGTGGAAAGAATCTGCAGGGAAAGTAACTGCTATGATCCAGAACGTGTTAAAAACTTCCTCAAGGTAATGCTTGGGTAGCATTGGACTGTCTTGGCCTGTTTGGGGTTCTGATAAAACATGGTGTGTGTCATCAGTGGAATGAGGCAGCTGTGTGAAAATACAAATGAGTCTTAATCTTTGTGCTTAAGGATCCATCTGTCCTTTTAAACCAGAGGTATCTACCCTGTCGGCAGTACCTCTTAATGAAGCCTGAACCTGGAACAATACCTAAAAAATGGAGAAGCTGTCAGATCAGGTCCTTGCTGCTCTTAATAGGGTTAACCTGGCTTGAACTCCCAAACTGTAGTGACAGCACCAGCTCATCTAGAACTTGTTACAGATGTCTGCTATAAAGTAGGAAATGGGTTACTTGGAGGTTGAGAAAACCTTAATGAGTTCGTAACTTTATGTTTATTTACAGTGTAATCAGCTTCAGCTGAGCAGTTACAGTAACAACAAGTGAATTGTGTAAATTAATTCCATAAATGCTGTCAGAGTTCAGGGTTGATCTATCTCACTGTACGTACTTGCTGAAATTTCAGCCAAGTGAACCACACTTTAGCTCTGCTAGGATGTGCCAGTCAGTGTAAGTACATAACTGACTTGCTAGGATTTGGAGCATTGTTGAAACATTTCTGAAGAGTGAAAAGAAGATTGTGTGCTCAAGTTCAGACTCTGTAGCCTGTTGCTAGCGCTGAGCTTATTAACAAATACAACACTGCTAGGAATAACTGAGAAACAGTGTGGGAGGGAAAAAGTTTTATCTGGGAACATTTCCTGCCTTCGTGTTTGTTGGTTACATAGCATAGTCTTGGATTTTGCTGATCATATCTGAAGATGGCAAAACTCTTCAAATGAGAATTCCATAAAAATAACCTGGTGTCACTGAGGTGTAAGGTATGTCAATTGATTGAGCCACCTAAGATGTTATCAAGCTGTCAAACTCCTGATGAAAGCTATTGTTTTTTGTGCTGTTCCATGTCTGGAATGTGCAGGACATGTACCAGGTAAATCTCCCAGTACAGGCCTTCCTGTGTAAAGTCCTTAAGTGTAATTGACATGTAGGATTATATTCTGGGATGTGCATGTTCGAATAAGTGATCTGAAATAATGCATCCGGAATACTGTCTGCCACATAGACTAAGCTTCTGTACTGTAATCATTGTATAATCTTATGCTGAAAGTTGGAATGCTTTTAGATACCTAATCTGATTAGCAATTTAAGTACTACTGCTACTAGCTGGAGTCTTACCATTATCTATATCCGTAGTTAGAAGGTATCACAAGATATATACAGAGTTGACTTTGAGTGCCATATAGCTATTACATTAGGAGCCACAACTTAATCTAGTTTTGGTTAAATTCTTTTGAAATCCCAGAGTGCTAATCCTGCACACCAAACATCAGTGGCAACTAAAAATGCTGTCTATAGCTTAGGCTTGTAATAGTTGTATGTGTTGTAAAACTTTGTGGACTCTGCCATGCAAAAGAGCAGGGTTAAACTTCAAAAAGCTTCTTGCTGTAGGCCCTGAAGTGGGTGTGAGTACTCCTACTTGCTCCCTATTGCAAACAATTAGTTGAACAGTAAGTTGTCATTACTTGGTTGAGTGTTGAATTTTGGCTTTCCAAATTCAGCTGCTTTAACAGTTTAAGTGACTGTATTTGTCTGTTTAAGCCAAAGAACAAAACCAAATTACTAAAGCTCTTCTCTTTATAGGAAGCTAAACTCACTGACCAGTTGCCACTCATCATTGTATGTGATCGCTTTGACTTTGTGCACGACCTGGTGCTGTATTTGTATAGAAATAATCTCCAAAAATATATTGAGATATATGTACAGAAGGTAAGTTACAATTCGTTGGCTTTAATGAATAAAACTGATCAGTCTTTCTAGGTTTATATGGATCTATAGGTATTACGCTTCTAAGCGTTCTGCAGACTCATACTTGAGACTGTCATTTAAGTAGCTGTTGGTGGCCTCTGGAAAGGTAGCCCTTATGTGAGTCAGGTCTCCTCTTATTCCTCAGCCAAGCAGAGCAGTAACCCCAGCTAATGTACCTGTTGATGAAGGAAACTTGGTAGAATAACTTTGGAGTTCTTAGGGTCACTCTAACTTCCAGCATTTTAGGAGTGGGAAAGTTCTTTATACTTCCTGCAGGGACAAATTGGCTTGCTCAGGAGTTCTCCTGTGGGGACTGAGTATTAGTGAGCCACTGAACTGTGGTGTGAACCCCTGTTCACTGAAGAATTGACTTTCAAGCTAGTCTGAAACCTCAGGAAGCTGGGAGTAAAGGCAGGAGGATAAGAATCTTAACAAACAGCCTTCATGTCTACTTCTAGGGATAAGTATTGACTGCCTATGCTGCATGACAATACACTGACTTTAAATAATCCTGTTTAGGTGAATCCAAGTCGTCTGCCTGTTGTTATTGGGGGACTGCTTGATGTGGATTGCTCTGAAGATGTGATAAAGAACCTTATTCTTGTAGTGAGAGGTCAATTTTCAACTGATGAGCTTGTTGCAGAGGTTGAGAAGAGAAACAGGTATTAAACTTTTGCAAGTCTCTTAACGCTGCCAGACTGGTAACAGTAGTACTGCTCATCTGTCCATGCATGCCCTCATTACACAGGTACAGCTAATACTGACAGAACAAGAAACTGATGTTGGCTGGGCAAGTAGCAAGAGTCTGCTTTACTTCTTGCCTGATGTGCGGATCTCCCTTAAGCAGCTTCCAGCTGATAGTTCTTGGCATGTGATGTTCTTCACAGTGTCAGAAAGTTACACCATGTAATGATGAAACAGAATTCAGGTCAAAGGGGAGTACCATAACTCTTAGTTACTGACTGTCCTATACTGAAGCTGACTTCTGTAGTGAAGATATTGTGCAAGTGGATACTTGCTTATTCACTCAGTCTCTCTAATATGAAACCTACTTCCTTCCGTCTAGGCTGAAACTGCTTCTGCCCTGGCTGGAAGCAAGAATTCATGAGGGTTGTGAGGAGCCTGCGACTCACAATGCATTGGCCAAAATATACATTGATAGCAACAACAACCCGGAAAGATTCCTGCGTGAGAATCCTTATTATGATAGTCGTGTTGTTGGCAAGTACTGTGAAAAGAGGGACCCTCACCTGGCCTGTGTGGCTTATGAGCGTGGACAATGCGATTTGGAACTTATCAATGTATGTATGCCAAGGCAGCTGTATTGTGTGTTAAGTTCTAACCTGAGTATTGTGGCATGTGGATTGCTCAGACTGTCAGAAGCATTTATTTCCTAAAAAGTTTTAAGCTAGGAACTAGTAATGTCTCATAGAATAGGTAGCTATTTAATATCCCTCTGCATCTTAGAACTGGGAGACTCCCCTGGACATCCTAGGATAGGAGGCTAATCAAAGTGTCAAAGCCCGAGATTTCTAGCATGCGTCTCAGGCTTCTTTAATGTTGCAATACAGTTAGCTCATCAACTGTAGGCTCAATAGCTGTGGCTGCACTCTGAATAAACTTTGCCATTTGCTAGGTGTGCAATGAGAACTCCCTCTTCAAAAGTCTTTCCCGCTACTTAGTTCGTCGTAAGGACCCTGAACTGTGGGCCAGTGTCCTGCTGGAAAGCAACCCTTACAGAAGACCACTGATTGACCAGGTATAACTGACAAACCAATAAAATCCTTTGCTGTCCCAGCCTGACTTGCTAGCGTGTCACTTAGCTGATATGTCAATGCCTTGACTCTGCCTACAGGTTGTACAGACTGCACTGTCAGAGACGCAAGACCCTGAGGAAGTCTCTGTTACTGTGAAGGCCTTCATGACTGCAGATCTTCCAAATGAGCTTATTGAACTGCTGGAGAAAATAGTTCTTGATAACTCTGTGTTCAGTGAGCACAGGTGTGTAAAGTCAAAATTAAGTCTTGGGAAACTTGAAATTATACTTGGTAGAGGTACTAAATTGCTGTAATGTGGAACAGCAAAGAAACTGATACCTTCTCCAGAGGGAAGGGTGAATTTCTGTTCATTACTTGACATGTACTAATATTTTTCTTTCTCTGTTTAGGAATCTGCAGAACCTTCTCATTCTTACAGCTATTAAGGCTGATCGCACCCGTGTCATGGAATACATCAATCGCCTGGATAACTATGATGCTCCAGACATAGCCAATATAGCTATTAGCAATGAGCTTTTCGAGGAGGCGTTTGCTATCTTCAGGAAGTTTGATGTCAACACATCAGCTGTACAGGTATTGAAAAACATCAGTCTGTAGTATCTCCCTGTGACATGTACATCCTCACACAAGGACTTTGCTGTTAACCTGTGACTTTAGTGCTTAACACCAATTAGCAAAGTGACCGAAGCTGTTCAGTGTTTTTCTCTTCTGAAGTAGAACAGATGTTTTGTATTAAACCCACTAGTAAGTGACACTTTAAGCCTACTGTCACTCTTGCTGCATGGGTTGTATAGAGTAGCCCTTGTTTTAAAAGCAGCTGTGAATCCATTGAAGAAGTAACATAAACCACGGCACAGTGTCTTGTAAAAACTGACCTTTATAGATAGTGGCTGATGATGGTAACCCTTTCTTTAGGTATTAATAGAGCATATTGGCAACCTGGATCGTGCGTATGAATTTGCTGAACGCTGCAATGAGCCTGCTGTGTGGAGTCAGCTGGCTAAAGCACAGCTTCAGAAGGGGATGGTAAAGGAAGCGATTGATTCATATATTAAAGCAGATGATCCTTCCTCGTACATGGAAGTTGTTCAAGCTGCCAATGCCAGTGGTATGGTTAAATTTTATTTAAAGCCTTGCTTTTGGTGTTGCTCAGCTCTTTTGCATGGCCTGCTCAAACTGCAGTTGTATTAAACCTGTGTCTTGATGCAAGTAGAGGAATCTGGTTCTTCAAAAACTGTCCTAAGTGAGAAGAGGGGAAGATAGCGTATTCCATCTGCAGATAATTGGTGGGCTTATAACTGCCTTCTTTAGGTAGCTGGAGACTTCTGGTAGAGCAGGTGCTACTAAGCACGTCTTTGCATGAAGTTAAATACCAGGATTTTAGTTAGGCCTATTGTAAGGTGACCATTAATCTAACATAGTATGTGCAGTATGAAGGCTAGTCTTGATTGCTGGGGAATAGCTGTAGAAATACTTGGACAAGGTAGAGCTGGTAGTATAGCTTCAGCACACATGTTCTCAGTGGCAGGAAGGTGAGTGTTCTGAACTCTGTTTCATAGGAAACTGGGAGGAACTGGTGAAGTATCTCCAGATGGCACGCAAGAAGGCCCGGGAGTCGTATGTGGAAACAGAATTAATCTTTGCTCTTGCTAAAACAAACCGTCTAGCAGAGCTAGAGGAGTTTATCAATGGACCCAACAATGCACATATCCAGCAAGTGAGTGAGACTGAGTTTGTTTTACTGAATCACAGCAGCAGGCTCCTTAGGCCTTGCTAACCACAGGGGTGTTGGGACTTCTCTCTCTCTTGGGTTTTGAAGACGTTTCCATTTTGGTAATGGCTTGAACACTACATGTTTTATGTAAGCATTTGACTGAAAAGCTGCAAGAATAACCTGGTTATGTTCTCCTGTAGGTTGGCGATCGCTGTTACGATGAAAAGATGTATGAAGCAGCTAAGCTGTTGTATAACAATGTGTCCAACTTTGGCCGCTTAGCCTCAACTTTGGTTCACCTAGGTGAATACCAGGCAGCTGTGGATGGTGCTCGGAAAGCAAACAGCACTCGCACATGGAAAGAGGTAAACTTACTGATTGAATAACTTAAGGGACTTCAGAGCTGTAGCCTCTTCAGAAGCTTTGATGATAAGCAATAATATAATTGTCAATTCCAGGTCTGCTTTGCTTGTGTTGACGGAAAAGAGTTCCGCCTGGCCCAGTTGTGTGGACTTCATATTGTAGTGCATGCAGATGAGTTGGAAGAGCTCATTAACTATTACCAGGTAACTAGGCTAACTCCTGTTTTATGGTCATAGTCTAAATTCTTTCATGGTAACTCTGTTGAAAACTGGAAATGTAGCAAGGTTGGCTCCTAACATGAGACATCTCTGTCTTAGGATCGTGGCTACTTTGAAGAGCTGATAACTATGTTGGAAGCAGCACTTGGACTTGAGCGGGCACACATGGGGATGTTTACAGAGCTAGCAATTCTCTACTCCAAGTTCAAGCCACAGAAGATGAGGGAGCACTTGGAGCTGTTCTGGTCCAGAGTCAACATCCCCAAGGTGAAAGTCTGAGGCCTTAAATTAAAACACATCTGTTGGGATTGCCTGTACCTTAGCTTTTGCAGTATCTGCTCTTGGGATTATTAATAGTGCTAAAGCCTGAGCACTGATGTGCACTAATGGCAATACATGTTAACTGGAATTTCTGATCTGCCTTTTGCTTAGGTTCTGAGAGCTGCAGAACAAGCCCACCTCTGGGCTGAATTGGTGTTCTTGTATGATAAGTATGAAGAATATGATAATGCCATAATCACAATGATGAATCACCCAACAGATGCTTGGAAAGAAGGCCAGTTCAAAGATATCATCACAAAGGTATTACTCAGCAAGAACTGTACCTCCTTTCACTGTGTTTGCTTCAGTTCTTTTTCCTTCACTAGTAGCCCGTTTAAATTTCAGAGTTCTTGATAGTACTGCACAATTTCAAAGCAAGTAAACTACAGTAACTAAAGAGATTTCTAGAGACAAGAGTGAGTCTTGGGTGGCTGAGTTGTGCTGGAATATCGAAGATTCTCTGCAGTTATGCTTCTGCTCTGAATGTGCATCCTTACTCATCTCTAGGTGGCCAATGTGGAACTGTATTACAAGGCAGTTCAGTTCTATTTGGAATTTAAACCTCTGTTGCTCAATGATCTGCTGATGGTGTTGTCTCCCCGACTTGACCACACTCGTGCTGTCACCTTCTTCACAAAGGTAATTTTCCTACTGTTCAAATCAAAGAAAAAGTTACAGTTGGAAAAGTATTTAGCTCTAGTGGCACTTTAAAATACTTGGCTATGTCATTGTCTGTCAGGGAAGATGCTGGGAGACCTCTACAGAAAGTTAATTTTGACTTA